CCACACACACAGGCGTGAAGTGGGAGCAATTCCGCGTACAGTCTGATGAGTGTGGTGCCGGAGGCCTAACATCAGTCCCTTTTCCTTCCCACTCGTTTTCTCGTAAGAATAGGATGGGAAGGAAACGTGGATTTGACGGTTGAAGAGACACATTTTTTTATGGGCAACGGTCGCTTCGCCAGTTTGGCGGATTCAAGTGGCTGCTTGCTCGTTTGCCATGATATAAAAAAAAGTGTTGAGCAACGTTCAGCATTGAGCAATGCTTAGCGTTGAGCAGGCTTAGTGTCGAGCAACGCTTACCGTTGAGTATTGCTAACTATCAAATGTGGGGATAGACTTACAAGTTTCAATTTCAGACGTGTTATGTTGAGCATCTTGAGGTCTTGTCTTTTTTACCATATCATCATTTTCATGAAATTCATATATCTTTTGAATGTTTTCTTACTGGGATTATATTTTTACCATATTCTCTTCCATATTTTAATTAAAATCGATCTAACGGGAATTCCATTTCCCCCTAGATTTAATCCATCCAATGGTTATTTTGCTGATATACCTTGAGAAACACCCTGTCATGTGTTTATTTATGTCAAGTTAGTGACTTGTAAGTTTAAGTGATGTGACTTATCCAGAAGGCGCGCTGATCGCAAGTTTAAGTGCGAAGTTAACGCCGCAGTTGTCGCCGCGCGCCGCTCGCCGCGCGCCTGCAGATAATAAGGGGAAAGGTAACTTATACTGTTTTACTCATTTATGTAGGAAATTTATTTAAATTCCCCGATTCCTTTTACGTGGAACGAGCTGTCGCCCGCAAACTTCGTTAGCGCGGATTTTAAAAAAAGTCATCTATCACATTCTTGCGTGCATCTACTTTTTACCAGCTACCTTCCAGTCAAAGTTTCATCCAAATCGGTCAATCCGTTCTTTAGATAGTGCTCTGGTCGCCATTTTGACAGCGCGGATTTAAAAAAAAAAGTACCCTATAATATGCTTGTCCATGTCACCTACCCTTCAGTGAAAGTTCGGTCGAAATCGGCCCAGCCGTTTCGGAGATTACCCAGAACAAACGAAGTTAGCGGACAGACAGACAGACAAACAGTCAGTCAAGAAATATTTAAATGCGATTTTAACAGCAACGCAAGTATATCTTCGCGAAATCTGGATTTTTTCCTTTGATATTACAGACACTACAATTTTATCATACATCATACCTTATACTAATATTATAAATGCGAAAGTTTAGATGGATGTTTGTTAGGGTTTGTAGCCTAAAGGGCTGAACAGATTTCGATGAAATTTGGCATAGATGTAGAGGAGAGTTTCGAAGAACACATAGGCTACTTGCATTTGTTTTTTTTTAATTCCACGCGGACGGAGTCGCGGGCGAAAGCTAGTTATATATATAGATAGAAGA